TGGAAAGTTTGTGTAGAATTAGTGTGACTTTTCTTTTTGAATGTTTGGTAACATTCCCCAGTGAAAACATACCTGGACTTGGAGCCATTGTTTGGGAGAGATTTTTAGCTACAAGTTTAATTTATTTTAAAAAAGAGAGAGAGGAGATAGGGAAGAGGGAAGAAAGGTGAGCAAACATGCAAGAGAGAGTGCACCTCTGTCTTTACACACACACACACACACACACACACGACTGTTCAGGGGATCTTCTTGAGTGAGCTTTGGAAAGTTTATGTCTGAAAGAATTTGTCCATTTCACCTGAGGTGCCAATTATATAAGCATAAAGTTGTTCATAATATTCTCTTAGTACCGTGTAACTCTCAGTAATGACCTGTGGTAACTTCCTCACGTTTATTCATAATACTGGTAATTTTTTCTTAATTTTACATCAATGATCTATCACTCCATAATAAGTTACGACACACGTAGTGACTTTAAAACAGCAAAAAATGTATTATAGGAAAGTTTCTGTGGGTCAGAACTGGGGAGCTTGGGCATGACTTAGCCAGTGCTCAGCTTCAAGGTCTCTCCCAAGGCTGCAGTCGTTTTGGCCAGAGGTGAGTGTCACAGCTGAATGTTAGACTGATGACGGGTCTGCTCCTAAAACCACGTGGTGTTGGCAGAATTCGTCGGCCACCTTCAGTTCCTTGCTGTGTGAGCATCTGCGGCGTGGTAGCTGCTTCATCCAAGTGTGTAAACTGAGAAGGTTAACGGAGAGTCTGCTAATAAGATGGAAGTCACAGTCTATGTAACGTGTCACAGAAGTGACAAGCCATCACCTCTCTGTGACAAAGCGTCACAGGTTTTGCTCACGTTCAAGGAGAGGGAATTACACAAGGGTGTTAAAAACAGGAGGTGGGGGGGTCATTCTTAGAATCTTTCTGTCTTAGTGCTTTGTCCAATTTATTGATCTTTCATAACACTAACTTTACATTTAAATTTTTAAAAATTTTTCTTTTCACAATTTCATTGATTTCTTCTCTTTAGTATTTCCTTATTCTAGTTTCAAGTTGAATCTTAGATCATTGAGCTGAAACCCTTTTTAACAAAGTATTAATAGCATAAATTAAAATTTCCCTCAAAGCACTGTATCTTGTGAATTTTGATCTATTGTGTTTTTATTATGTATTCAGAATATTTTCAAATCTCCTTTGTGACTTTTTTAATCAATGAGTTGTTTGGAAACCTGTTATTTAATTTAAAAATATTTGGAAATTATCCAGGTTATCTTTTGGTTGTTGATCTCTTATT